CACGATAGAAAGGACAGATGATAGGTAGAGGCGGGTCAGACCAGACACGTCCGCTCTACGCCAATAATAAGAGGTGACAGAGCCGAAAGGGCCAGCCAACAGTGAACGCTTGACTACGCGCTACCGGCCCTCGGTACTTACATCACCTTTCTTAGGTCATATAATAGATGGTGGCAGCTTTATGAGAGAAGGAAACCCCGAACAGGAGAATCCTAGCTAAGGGTGAGCTAGGAGTATTGTGTTAACTCCTTACAGAGTAGGCTGTGGAGGTAAGGAGGGATACCTCCACGCCCCCCTGCTCTGCGGCGTTAAAGTGGTGGCAGGGAAGGCTACCTTCACGCCCCCCTGCCGCCAGGACATTACAGAAAGTTAAAAAAAATATTGAAAAAGAAACGCGAGTGCGAACTGGTGACCCTCTCAAACACCACACATACAGTGGTAGCGGTAACCTGTACAAGTCCCCAAGTGCTATGCAATAGTGCTAACAGTGCAAAGTGACAAGGCTTGCAGGAGTGTGTAACCAGTAACGACAACCCGTTCATTTGGTAGAATCCGAGCTCTCACGTAGCGAGTGTAGTAAAGTAACAATCTGAGTTGTATCTCAGTGACGCCCAGATTACAAACCAATAAAGGAAGTGGTGCTAAGTGTCTGTGTTTCCAGTGTGTTCTTTTCTCCTCGTCGGAGTAAGGCCCTAAACGACCTGAACCAGAGTCTCACGCCACCCACGACTAGCCCGACCACCATCAGCTCCACCCCGTCCACCTTTTCCCTTCACTTCGCAGCTGTACCCACAGTTGATGGCGCCCATAGACAAATCAGGCCAAGTCCCGGACCTGATACCCCTTTCCATAGTGAAGAGATGGAGTTGGAGAAGCAGTGGAGCCAGGTAAAGCCGGCCTAGCTGCAAGCTCAACGACCAACGACGGCAGCAGCAAGAAACGACAAGAGAAAGGAAGAAGGTAAAGAGTAGCGACCAACCGGTGTGGCTTGAAGCCTCACTGAGTGGAACAGTAAGAACTTGGGTAACAGACTCTGGTGCTTCACACCATATGAACGGAAATAAGACTATTTTGCAAAATTATAAAACGCATGATTCTAAAGAACATGACATAACCCTTGCTGATGATAACATGTTAATCAGTGCAGGTTTTGGTGACATAAAACTTATGAATGACAATTATAGCCATATCTCAGAAGTATTGCGTGTACCGGGATTGTCTACAAATTGTCTGTAACCTCAATTGTAAATAAGGGTACAATTGTGTTATTCACCAAAGACTGTTGCAACTTATACGATTCCGATGATTTTGAGGTAAGAGGCAAAGTTCTTCCCAAAGCATATTCCAAAAATGGCATTTATTGTTTAAATACCAAAGCTAACATGACCCAATCTGCAAATATAGCAACTAAAGATAAAAGTAATACCAAAGAGAAAAATAACAAATGTGAAAAATCTTGCACTAATATTGTAAAGAATGAACAAGTTGCAGGTACCCAGCAAATTGATGAACAACTGTTGTGGCATAGGCGTTTGGGGCATTTAAATAGGGTTAGCATGCGGTTGCTTAAAAAAAGGTTTAGCTAGTGGCATTGATTTACAAGAAGAAGAAGATCTGTCAAAGAAACGTATTCCATGCCTGGAAGGCAAGATGATAAAGAAGCCTTTCCTACAATCAAAGAACACACGGTCAAAAAGGGTACTTGATCTATTACATTTAGAAAGGCTAATTGGATTGGTCATGTTTTACACTGGAACTGCCTTCTAAAAGAAGCTATCGAAGGAAAGATAGATGGGCGAATAGAAGTGACAAGAAGACGAGGAAGAAGACGTAAGAAGATGCTGGATGACCTTGGGGACAGAAGAGGATACTGTCATTTGAAGGAGAAAGCTCTAGATCGCATTAAGTGGAGGAATTGTTTTGAAAGAGACTGTGGACCTGTCGTCTTGACAGATTACTGATGATGATGATNAGACTGTTGCAACTTATACGATTCTGATGATTTTGAGGTAAGAGGCAAAGTTCTTCCCAAAGCATATTCCGAAAATGGCATTTATTGTTTAAATACCAAAGCTAACATGACCCAATCTGCAAATATAGCAACTAAAGATAAAAGTAATGCCAAAGAGAAAAATGACAAATGTGAAAAATCTTGCACTAATATTGTAAAGAATGAACAAGTTGCAAGTACCCAGCAAGTTGACGAGCAACTGTTGTGGCACAGGCGTTTGGGGCATTTAAATAGAGTTAGCATGCAGTTGCTTAAAAAAGATTTAGCCCAAAAAGTACACTTTCTGCACTGACCTCTACAAATGTTGTGGTTCTCAATATACCAACTAGACATGATTTAATAAAAGAATCAATAGTAAATAAGGAAATAAGGAAAGCAAATATGGACATAAACAAGGTATGTAAAAGATTCAGAAATGTAAAAGTACTAGACATAAGCAACATAAGCAGAGCTTGTCATATAAGGCATGGACAGCACCTAAACAAAATAAGCATAGAGCATATATCTCAAGAAATAAGTAAAATAATAGGCAAAACAGAAAAAAAAATCACCTAACTGTAATAGCTTTAAGCGACTCAAACTAATAAAGGAGACTGGATCCATGAGGCTCCAGTAATTACAAAGTATAGAAACCAACTCAAGACAAAAGCTCAAAATAATACATCAAAATGCACAATATCTCAGTAATAAAAGTGAACTATTCGCAGCATTCCTTCAAAGTACCACACCAGATATATTGGCAATTTCTGAACATTGTCTTAAAGATGATGAAATTACTCAATGTATATTAGAAGGATATACTGTATCCTCACACTTCAGCAGAAAAGATCAAAAAGGGGGTGGGATAGCTATTTACAGTTCTAGGAACATACAACAACATAAACCTCTGAAATGGGTTACAGAAAAAAGTATAGGAAAAACTTTTGAGGTTACTGGTATAGAAGTAACATGTGAAAAGAAAAAAGTAACAATCACTACATTATATAGATCACCAAGTGGTGGAATAAACGAATTTTTTATCCATATAATAGGTATTTTGGAGAAACTAATCCAAAAAGACCAATATATCAATTTAGTAGGAGACTTACACATAAACATCCAAGAAGATGGAAGTAGTCACAAAAAATTATTAGTGTTACAAAAGCTTATAATCTGACTGTGACAATAAATACACCTACATGAGTAACTAAAAGTATGGCTACAACTAAAGACCAAATCATAACTTATATACTGCCTAAATACTATCATACTGAAGTAATAAACAGCCTACTTTCAGATCTTTTGCACAATGTATAACTATTAATATGTCTGTACCACAACAAACAAGATGTTACAAAGAAGTCAGGAATACACTGAAGTGCCAAGTCATGGGATAGGTACCTAGTATCGTGTAGGACCCCCTCTAGTCTGGCAAAGTGCAGCAACTCCTGGTAACTTATAAGGCAGCTTAATGTATGTTTGGTTGGTTTATTGTTGTCTTCTGACAGCTGGCATTTATCAAATGGTTCTAAGACATGTATGCATTTTCACATTCCTCTAACTATAGAAGGTTGTGTGCTTATGTTTGACTGTGCTCAATGAAGAGACGGGCAAGGAGGTAAATACAATAACCTAATATGCAACAGAGTTAATATTTCTGTTTCCCTGTAACAGCATATTTCGAGTGGTTACTTAAACCTTTTAATATAAAAAAAAAGAGGGAAGGAAGAAGAGAAATAACTATAGGTTGGACAAGAGAGATTGTAAATAATGGAAAAAGAAGGGAAGGAGGTATAACAAATGAAAAGTCAACAGAGATTATGCTTGTGTAATATTAAAACAGATACAGGAGAACAAATAGCATCTTATACCATTTTGTCAGCCCTTAGTCTGTGAAGTATTCCTCATCCTCTTTTAAAAATCATTAAACAAGAATTTCAATAGAAAGTTTTAACAAAAATCTATGTTGTAGCCTATGTATATGCTAAACAATAAATTAAATTAATGAGTATGTAGTAGAATATTCCAGTCTCACCCCAAACCTGACAGAAGCCATAAACAACAGAAGACTAGGGCTGACAGGAACACCCTGTTTTTGTAAGCTGTTTTACAGAGATGCACTCCTGGACAAAGATATATCACTGCCCAAGAAAAATCATCTGTATGCATAGTTGAAATATTAAAGCATTAAATAATTTCCACCTTATTTGTCCAAATTGAACTTTCAGGAGGAGGTAGACCATTTTTTAAAATTTCAGTTTCATAACTAGAAAGCAAATTCAAAACTTGTCCCTGATTATCTCTTGACATGTTGTGTGTGCTGTTTTTGTGGCAGTGAGAGTTTCAACTGTGATCTTTTGGGCTTATGCCACGTAGTCTTAGATGCTGTTACGAACATTTGAGAGAACCTGCTGTCTCCATCATCAGGGTAAAACTGTTTGCAATGCTGATTATGTTTAAACAGGTTCAGCGAGTATGTTGCAACCAAATATCCATGTATTCTTTTTCACAGCTTGGTAAAGTGTAATGCAAGAGACTAACAACAGTCGTGTCCTGACATTACCAGTTAATTAACTTTGTTTCATCATAGAAGTCTTGAGTTACTCAATTTTACTGGATCTATACAAACACAAATGTGTTCCTTGTGATAATCAATTACAAGCAATGTTCAACTGAGCAAAGATATTAATTATAACTTAGCTATGTTAGTGCAATTCCTGATAAATTTCAAACTTTTTCTTTCAAATTAACTTCATATTTTTAACCACATTCAGCATGATCACTTTAAAGCTTACACTGCCAAAAATACTGCATTACTGTCTGAATTACGACAATCATATCACAGTCAACTGGGATAGCGACTAGCTACAGTCTGGACGAGTCCTGGTAGGGGCAAGATTTTTCTCTTCTCCCTGGTAGAAAAGTGGCCCGGACGTGAAGCTGACCACTCACCTCCAATTAGTGCCGAGGTCAAGAAAATGTGGGTCTATACATCCACTCCCCCAAGCATCTTCATGGTGTAGTACTTAATTAGTTAAGCACAGGGACAACTTTACCTTTTTACATATCTCACATATACACAATTTTGGATTGCTTATAATTCTCTCTGGTGGTAAAAATAAAATTATGTCACAAACAGCAGGAAATGCAAATGTTTTCATCATAAGAAAAGGGGAGGGCCCTGTGCATGTAGAGAATAGTAATTAAAATTATTCAAGAGGTGAAACACAATGCATAGCCTTCACACCTTCCACAGGTTCATCGCCTACTACCTACAGACAGCACAGTGTGACCTCAGAACTTGCTGATATGTAAACCTTTCAAAATCTGACCACCAGGCAGTAAGATGCCTATTTTGTCTCTGATGATTATTTCCACAGCAGGTTATCCTCTGACACTGTGGTTCCTTCTTGCTAATTTAGTGTCAAAAGACTTATAAAATATAGTATACTCTCCCCTGATCTATGTGTGAATTAAAACACATTAGTTTTTAAGTAAACAGCATGTCAAGTTCCAAGTGAACCTTACATTGAACCCATAAGCACTATAACTTTATGGGCAAAGTTCAATCTACCAGGAAACCTAATACTAATCAAAACATCAAGTACCTCAGACAATACTTAAGAGTAAACTGTTTTATTTCACTATATTTAAGCATTAAAATGGATACTTTTTTTTTTTCCCAGATGTATACCAGATAATACAAAATGCATTCTCTGTTATTCATCTGACTGGCCAAAGAAAATGTTAACTCAAGAGACTGTCTCTTTGTGTCATTGAGTATTAATCATATTTAAATGTTGGACCCACAACATGGAATTAAGTATCACATTACATTAAACATAAATTATGACACAAACATATTAAATCCTACTATGCACAATATTACTGCAACAACTGAAAGAACACCATTTCAGTAATACAATATCTGGAACTAAAGTTGCAGGCCTCAACATGGAATTGCATAAATAATTGTCTAGACATTACACAGATACGATCGATCCCTTAAAGCAAGAATACCGCTGGAATAAACAGATGCAATAAAGAAAATGTGCACAGACTTAACCACCCACAGATGGAGACACACTTTTAATTTTATTGCTACTTCAACAGCGTCACCATCATTTTACAGCAATTTAGAAGAACAGAACAGCTTTTCTCTTGTTTTCTGCTACATAACAATAAATATAAATGCAGCTTTCTAATGAGCGAACAGTATTTTATGTTCTAATGGTTAATTTGTATTTCCACTTCTGGTTTAAGACAATATCAGTTCTATGCCCTGAGCTTTGCCTACAGTTACATACAAAATCTCTTGCTATTAGGTTTCAGTCAATACACTACAGATGCAGAAGTGAGTCCAATAAACCACAACAACATAATAATTTGGTACTGATAGGGTGGGATAAACAACTGTCTAATATAAGACTGTATGAGAAAGAACATTCTGCTGCAGGACTGTATATCTACAAAAGCTTGTACATTTACAATCTCCTTTCAGTAAATACAACAATCCATAATTCCAATAACATAACTATGGACATCAATTGTACAGCAATCCAAGACTTCAAAAATGATTAAATTTTGGTGGTAAACTAAATTTCATTATAATCTTATCCACAAGCGGAGAGACACACTTCTACTGTTATATCAGCTATCATTCTATATTAGATCATAAACCTGCTTCAAAATTAAAGACAAGGAAATGCTGTTAATGTCTAGTCCACTCATTTGATCTTCACTTATTTCATGGGTTAATCTTCATTTATCAATCACCTGTTTCATGTACTATCCTCAATCTTTCACCTGTGTCTCTCATTTACTTCCTGTTTGTTCCACATCTGTAACTCTCACTCAGTATAGGGAAGGAGCAAGACACCTAGTGAGTGGCACATTGTACCCTACTGGGCCCATGACCTGCCTCGTCTTCGTCATATGCATTCTTATATTCACGTCGCCTAGCTTCCTGCTCTGGGTCCAGGTCCACTAGCAGGCACTCCTCTGCCCCATCAGGAATCATGGTCTCGGGTCTAGAAGAGCAAAAATTGTATATTTCAACGATCTGGTCTTCCAGTTCAGATGGAAGAAATCTACAGCCTTTACCAAGTACTCCAACTCCTACACTCTGTATCTCTTCACCACTTGTATACATTAATATTCACGGGTCTTTTTATCACACCACTTCTACAGGAGCCCTGTAACTCTTCTTTTAGAACTGCTTACAAATGTGTAAATATCTCTGGTTATAATTTCTTGAAATTAATAGGAAAATCAATATAGCCAAATTAATGTAAATTCAAGGAAATTAAAAAAAAATCAGTATTTCACTACATGCAGTAATTAAGAAATACTTACTAGACAAAGAGGTTTCAGGAAAAAGTTCTACTTATTCTATTATTTGACAAATGTTTTGTTATGTATGTCTCCTCAGAAAAAATAAAAATTAGATGTGGATCAAAAGATAACTTCACCCCACACATTCCTAACTTTGTTAGTAATGACAATTATCTTTAACATTCTTTATGATCCACTTTTATTTCTACTTCACTAAGTTTACTTTTTGTTAATTTCATAAAAAAGAAATTCATATTCATTGTGTATACAGACCACCTGTGGTCTTGTGGTCAGAGTTCCTGGCTACAAATCCAGAGGTCTGGGTTCGATTCCCGGTGCTACCAGATTTTTTCTGAGAAGTAGTGGGTCTGGAATGGGGTCCACTCAGCCTCGTGATGACAACTGTGGAGCTATTTCAAAGAAATAGCAGCTCCAGTCTAGAAAACCGATCATTGTGCTGGCCACGCGACACCCCCTACCCGCAAAAGTTGGCACTAACTTTTCCGACAAGCAGCGGTCGCTCAGTCAGTATGGTTCGGTTGCAGACTAAAATCACGGAGTTTGTTTGTGTGTGTGTGTGTGTATACAGGACTGGACAGATATTTAAATGCTTGTAGTTAAACTTTCATCATACCTAATCCTTCCAGCTGCACTATGGCCCTGGGGTCGACTCAGTCTCTAACAGAAATGAGTACCAGGAATATTCTTGGGGATAAAGGGCAGCCAGCGCATAAGGCTGACAACCTTACCACCATCTATGAGCAGACTGTCTAGAAAATGTGGGAGCCTCAACATCTCAGAAACCTGTGGACCTCCAAGGCCTGTTACAGGGCTACCTTTACTTTACTTTTACAGTCTTCATTAATGAAATGTACAGTTTCCCTAGTATCAATTTTAGTAAAATATACTGAGTACATGTGTAGACTTCAGGAAGCATTTCTCTATGTTAAGTTTAATTAAAGACATTTTGCAACAAAATTGAGACCTAATCCCACCACATGCCTTTTGAATCTGCCCTGTACTTTGCCACCAGTAAGCAGACCTAAATTATACATGCAGAAAGTGTGGGCCATGGACCTATAGGGGTCCACAAGATAATTTTGTTCTCCTATTTTAAGTCAGATGGAAGAACTATTGCATTTAATATTTTACTAAATCCATTTATCTGAAAAAATAATGGTATGACAAATATATTGGGCTAAAAGTTGCATACAGATACCCACACTAGTTATAAAGCAGTAACTCGTCCATTTTTGTCATTAAACATTTGAGGTAAGAAAATACATTGTAACAGTTAGACTTTAAAGTATTCTGACAATGGTGTATGCTGTACAGAACTATAAGAACCAGACGATGGATAGAGTCCAAAATAAACCTTATAGTAATATAACTGTAACAGTTCTTAAACACTCTGTAATGTGGGATATACATTAAAACACATTTTAAATAAATTATTTTACTCAAATCTGTCTGAAGCTGATATGCAGTAATTTAAATGTGCAGGGATGAGGGGTCCTTGCGTGCAACATGTTAATAGGGAGGCCCTTGGGTGTTAAGACCCACTGCTTTTATTTAAGGACACTTACCTGGGTGGCAGACAGTTCTCTAGCTGAGGAATCAGTTCTGGAGGTAAACTTGATGGGAAGTTCACAAGAAACTGAACAATGAGACGTCCCTTCTCAAAGGGGTTCTTATATTGAGGCATGCCTTCATTCATAATACACTTCACATCACCATGTTTGGTCACTTCACCTGCAAAAATAAAATAAACTGTTCTTATAATATTCACCATATTTGTCAGCATCAAGTGCATGAAAGGAGTCTGGCAAATACCTACACCTCTGCAAAAAATTTATGTTAAAAATTCTCGGAGGTGTCACATTTTGGTTTGTCCACTCAGCACCTCAGAAACAGGTGTCAAGTGGGGACTAAAACAGAATACCACCATACACACATAAAAGGACAACTATGCAAAATGGAACCAGTACATGGTCTCACCTGGAAAAGACCCCATAGCAAAGATTAAACATCCTCTCTCACCTGTCCTACTGTGTGACTGAAGTTATAGCTTGAGGCTCCACTTCATACAGCCAAGTGGATATCAAAATGTCCCATTAAGCTGAGTACTGTCTTTCATTTAAAAGCACAGGACTGCTAGAAGGTTAAATTAAGAAAGGAGATGTACAACAAATAGAAGTCAATCATGATGTAAGGCCCAGTATAGCCCACCTCTTTAACCTTTAACGGCCGAATGTTATAATTATTCGCATCAAGCAGCAAGCCGAGCTGGCCGAATGTTATAATTTTTAGGGGCAAGCCACGTGCTTCCTTTGTGAGTGCTGGCAGTTTGACCTTGGGTTTGAAACCCAAACAAACTCATGAAGTTCATGTCAGACGTTTATTTGTTAGCGCTGAACAACGAAATCGTTTATCAGAGTACTGGTTTCGAAACTATTTACGTTTAGATATGACTGTTTATGACCTGGTGAGCCAATAGAGGTCAGCTTTGTTTTGAGAAGTTAGAGGAGGAAATATTCGTAAGCACTTTCATAGCAGTGCTACCAGAGCTTTCAAGGAAGTGTGGCTCATTCAGGGATTGGCTTGCAGTGTTGAATTCTCAGTTAGGACGTCAGTGGCGGATTTTCTATATTTTGTTAAAAGTTAGGAAGTCAGTGTCAGACTCCTGTATTTCTTTTATATCATTTTTATTGTGTATCTCGGAAGTGGTATAAATACACTGAGCCAGTGTTACTTTGTGCGTAAAGACATCTTCGTCACTGTGACTTTCGGTATCAGTGGCGGACTGGCACTTTTCGACTGCTATTGCAATTACTTTGCATCACAATTTTGCGAGTATTCTTCCACCTACTAGACATGTCTATTCTCAATGAATATCTGTTACACAAGTCATGTGATGGAAAAATGACGCACAAAAATTTCCGCGAAATTTTGGTGCGTGATTTGATTCTTCAATCACATGAGGCAAATATCACGGTCAGTGGTGTTTCTCGGGGGAGGCCAAGTTCATCTGGGGCCCAACTGAGTCGACTGGAGGTGAAATATTCAAAACACTGGTCAGCTAGAGGGAAACAAAGACGTTTGTTCCATAAACAAGAAAAGCGAGAGCACGCTTTACCACTGTAGAGAATGATGTCGCGCTGTGTGGACTGCTTCGAGAAATGGCACACGCGTCAGAGTGTAAACTGTGAAGTGATGCAGGCCAAGCCGTGTACAGTCCGAACCAAATATTATTGTATATAGTGTCGTCATATTTACATCACCACCATGATTCAAGGTTGAAGAAAAACAACAGGTAAGTCCTTTGGAATTTCATAACGTATATTATAATGATTATATTTTGCAATTCATGACAAAATACTCAGTTGATTTTCATTTGTAAAACTTGCCCTTTTGTATATATGTAGAAAATTTTATTGTCTTTCAGGTTCTTTTTAGTTCATATTCCGATGTTGCGTAGAATGGAAAATATGCATTTTTTTCTGAAAGTTCGCAATGTTAAAGACTTAGGCCCATTTAAATTCCGGCCGTAGGGAGCTGCCGGCAATTTAAAAGTCCGTACGTTAAAGGTTAATCCAACCTAATCTTGGTCCATTCTCAAAAGTATGTACCATTTCTTCTTAGATTCTTCTGCCATATTTTAGCCAATGGATTACTTAGCAATGTTTTCAGTATTGAGACCAGGTATCATGCTAGGACTACAGAATTGGAAAAGATTTGAAAACACGTAATAAATACACTAATATTAAACGTTTAAAACTTTTTATATGAATAAATATGAATAGCTGTTGCAACCTTATACAGACTGGCTTGAAGAAACTCAAGCCTTATTAACCTTTAACGTACGGACTTTTAAATTGCCTGCAGCTCCCTACGGCCGGAATTTAAATGGCCCTAAGTCTTTAACATTGCAAACTTTCAGAAAAAAATGCATATTTTCCGTTCTATGCAACATCGGATTATGAACTAAAAAGAACCTGAAAGACAATAAAATTTTCTACATATATACAAAAGGGCAAGTTTTACAAATGAAAATCAACTGTGAGTATTTTGCCATGAAATTCAAAATATAATCATTATTATATACATTATGAATTTCTAAAGGACTTACCCGTTATTTTTCTTCAACCTTGAATTGTGGTGGTGATGTAAATATGATGACACTATATACAATAATATTTGGTGCGGACTGTACGCGGTTTGGACTGCTTCACTTCACAGTTTACACTCTGACTCACATGTGCCATTTCTCAAAGCAATCCACCACACACAGCGTAACATCACACTTTTTACAGCAGAAAAGCATGCTCTTGCTTTTCTTGTTTATAGAACAAACGTGACGTCTTTGTTTCCCTTTAGCTGGCCAGTGTTTTGAATGTTTCACCTCCAGTCAGCTCAGTTGGGCCGCAGATGAACTTGGCCTCCCCCGAGAAACGCCACTGACCGTGATATTCGCCTCGTGTGATTGAAGAATCAAATCACGAACCAAAATTTTGCGGTATTTTTTGTGCGTCATTTTCCCATCACATGACTTGTGTAACAGATATGCATTGAGAACAGTCATGTCTAGGAGGTGGAAGAATAATTTCTTCGCCCATTTCCATGTCCTCCGAGCAATGCCATAGCTGTTCACCATTCTGTCAGATTTGTCCACAAAGCCCATGTGTGCATTGTAGTCTTCAATTACATGAGGTTTGACAGCACGGCCAGATTCATCTCGGAAGTTGCCATCCAATGGAGGGGGGTGCATATTCGTCAGAACATACACATCATGCTTGTCTTTCCAACGAACAACACTTAGATTCCCCTTCACTCTTGTCACAATATCCCCTTTTTTCAATTTCATCGATTTGGGCCGAATTTCTTGTGGCATTCCACGCCTGTCATTGCAAACGGCGCCACACGTATTTATTTTACGATCTAGAAGATCGTCATACAATGCAGGGGAACTGAAATAGCTGTCCATATAAAGTTTGTGTCCTGAGCCTTCTACTCTTCGAATTAGCTGGAGAACAATGCCATGGGTTGGTGTAATTTCTTCAGTTACAAGTTGCCTTTGTTTCCCTAAATAAACAGTCATGTCATATGTATAGCCCAGAGAATTGCAAAGCTTGTAAATTTTTATTCCAACTCTTTTGTTTCTTTGGAATATACTGCCGAAAAACCACTCTTCCTTTGAACAGCACTATCACTTCATCAACAGCAAGATGTTCCGATGGATTGTAAGTTCACAAAATTTGCTGTTAAGACTGTTGAAAATTTTTCTAATCTTCCAGAGCCTATCGTACTCTGGGTCATCTCGATTTGGAGGAGCTTCATTATTCTCAAAATGAAGAAATCTCAAAATATGGAAGAAACGGTCGCGTACCATGGTGTTATGATAGAATGGAGTGTAGTACTGCTCATCTCTCGACCAATAATCTTTCAGGGTGTCCCGCTGATCGTGGCCCATTTGAATTATTATGGCCAAAAATTTTGATATTTCTTCAATTGTGGCGTCAGGCGGTTGAGCAGAAGGGCCTGGAGCATCTTGACTTGCCAAAAATTGACGAAAATATCTGTTTGTTTCTTGTACCAAAATCTGGAATATACAATGGAAAAAGAAAATGAAAATGGAAAAGGGAAAGGACTGAGCATTTATATTGGGAGCAGCGGATCTGTTGATTCCACTCGGAGGACCAGTGAAATCTAGTAGCTTTGGCGAATCCCTGGGTCTTCTATTGCGAAACCTGATCTCCATTCCCCCTGCCTCATTACTTGAGGAGGAGGAGGAGGAGGAGAAGAAGAGGAGGAGGACGACGACGACGACGACGACGACGACGATGATGATGATGATGATGATGATGATGACGACGATGATGACGGTGACGATGATGATGACGACATATGCTCGTGAGGTTCAATGACCTCATCGAGTTCTTCCAACTCAATATCAGATTCATCTTCCATCAATATTTCCTCCAGTTCTTCAGCATCAAGGAGTTTTTGAGTATCAGGCTCATTTTTGAGGTTCCATCTTGGGGGAGGGGGCTTCCAGCTAAATCCCATAATTTATGATGATTGAAAAAGCGAGACTGTTAGGAACACCTGTTAAGAACACTCGCAAAATTGTGATGCAAAATAATTGCAATAGCAGTCAAAAAGTGCCAGTCCACCACTGATACCGAAAGTCACAGTGACGAAGATGTCTTTACGCACAAAGTAACACTGGCTCAGTGGGTTTATACCTCTTCCGAGATACACAATAAAAATGGTATACAAAGAAATACAGGAGTCTGACACTGACTTCCTAACTAATAACAAAATATTAGAAAATCCGCCACTGACATCCTAACTGAGAAAACAACACTGCAAACCAATCCCTGAATGCGTAACACTTCCTGGAAAGCTCTGGTAGCACTGATATGCAAGCGCCCACGAATATTTCCTCCTCTGAGTTCTCAAAACAAAGCTGACTTCTATTGGCTCACCAGGCCATAAACAGTCATATCTAAATAGTTTCGAAACCAATACCCTAATAAACGATTTCATTGTTCAGAGCTAACAAATAAACATCTGACATGAACATTCATGAGTCTGTTTGGGTTTCAAACCCAAGGTCAAACTGCCAGCACTCACAAAGGAAGCACATGGCTTGCCTCTAAAAATTATAACATTCGGGCTGTTAAAGGTTAATGAGGACTGAAAGAGCATGTGGACAGCTCAAGGACACGCAATAAACTCTGAGCTGTACAGTTTTAACATTATCACACATGCGCACAATGTTTTGCAAACTATCTTTTGTGTGGTAAACCTACAGTATGACCTGTGCGACTTTCTGATCGATTTATATACGGAATGTAAGTGCATTATAACTGAGTATGAGAAAACAAATAATTTCACTTCTCAAGACAACAAAAACTGAAAATACCACCCCGCAAGACCACGTAATTTCCTCTTAAAGCTGAACACATCACATATGTATTTCTTCTTAATGAGAAAAACTTTCCTTTTAAAAGCAGAACTCACCAGGAATAGCTGTGATGACTAGATCTCTATCATCAAGGGTCTTTATTACCCTCTGGAAACCACAGAGCGCCTCAACCAACTCAATATTCATCCGCATAATTAGATCATTATTAGATCGTCTGTAAATAAAAACAAATTCGTCACCATGATACATATATTTCCTGAATCCAAGAGTCAAGACAGCGATAGAAGCTATCCACACAGTTGTTCTATTAACTTCAATCATACAGATGTTCACAGATTTTTTCCTAAACAGTACACCAGTCAAGATAGTTCTAGACCCCACCATCAGAGAACACTGAACAAGCTATTTGGTTAAGAAATATGAATCATGAATCAATTTCTGAGGTAAATGTAAAGTTGTGCTTAACTACGCATCATGCCTTGAAGACATATGGGGGGAGTGGAGATATAGCTCCACATATTCTTGACCTCAGCAGTGGCTGCTGGCTGCCCACGGGGGGGAAGAACCCCAGGTACCCACTGGCTAGGAGACTGGGTGGGCCCCAGAGCCAGTACGGACACTGTGAAGCAAAATCATTGTTCCTGCTAGGAACTGAAACCCAGCCTCCCAACCTATAGCCTGTTGCTATACTGACTCAGCTATCCCACAATTTCTTACATTCTCATAAACATTACAAAATGGCATACCCCAGTATCCATATCCCAAACCCCTTTCCTTTTACTAGATGCAGCGCTCTTATTACAGGTTTTTAGTGAACAGATCAGTACAGAATTTCCATTGCGTATCTTCAAAACAAAAAAACAAAAAAAAAACATCCTCATCCATTCCGCACCTGTAACACACTAGAAGCACCATTATGTGGCTGATACAAATGCATAAAATAACCTCAGATAACACAGGATGGCAAGGCAAATGCCATACTTTTCAGTAAATGATAAGTGTGAATGAAGAGTGAACAACAGGTGAAAATTCCCCTTAATAATGTGACACCACATTCACATAATATGTTGCAAAGTACTCACTTATAAACTTCATTTTCTTTCTCATCCAAGACGATAATGATGTCTCCTGGTTCAAGACCCGGTTCTTGGTCGCCTTCCCCTCCAAAAGTAATCTTCTGCCCATCCACCATACCTTTATCCACATGTACCTCTAGGATCTTGCGATCGCGAACAGTCTGAAAACAAATCAGAAGTATATTTTTAGCCTTCTTTCCTTCCTTATTTTTTGAATTGAATTGAATTTATTTACATTCTATAAATCCTAAACAGGTTAGTACCTTTGGATACAGAACAAGTCAAAAGGTTACATACTTAAGTACAAGACAATTTTAGCTTAACAATTAATATAACTTAATTTTACATCATTCTCTATTTACATTGAAGTATTCATCTAAAGAGTAGAAGGAATGAGCATGTAGATAATTCTTTAACTCTGATTTAAACTTTTTAGTATCATTGCCCAAGTTTTTAATACTTTGTGGCAGATTGTTGA